CAAGAGAAAAGTCTTCCTGATGGCTGAGAAGGTAAAAAGCATGTCAGTAGCGTGCTGGATTATGACAGCTTGCTCCTTTTTAAATGTGCCCCTCGTATGTGGAAGGAGCTTCATCTCTCTTACTACTGTTTGAAACCAAGCACCGAAAAAGTACCTTCATTAGGAGCTCAGAGATCCTGCAGTCTATACTTAGTAGATGTCTGAATTGCTTTGTGGAGATGCCTTTCTTCATCCATTACACAAGTAGCCTAGGGCAAGCCAGCTCCTAAACTAAGTGCTTCAATAAAGTGTCTGCAATTAAATGTGACAAACTCGGGCACATTTGATTGGTCTGGCCTCTCAAAACTTCAGACGTGTTCTGCAAGAGGGAGTGGACTGGGTGCCACACAACCATGCTGCTGTGCACCCTGTGCTTGGTGGGGTTGTTTTCTTAATGTATCAAGTGTTGTTAATTTGTTTCGTGATAGCTAATGATTTTTTATTTTCCCTCCCCTTTTGAAGAAATTACTGGAAAAATTGTCAGATCTTTTTGAGCCATTTGGAAAACATAAGGGAATGCACATCATAGAGCTTAATCATGTTATAAGAGATTGTTACTCTGAAAGGCAAACTATTTTAGTTATATTGTGTTATTGTGCCATTAGTACCATTTGACTGCCAACTGCGCAGCAGCAGGGCTCCAATCAATGGGAGCCTTTGTGTGTTTTCCATTGCAAATAGTGCCAAGGATAGGAGGGAGAGAGGCTCTTAGTGGTACAATTTTTTCAGTGATTAATAATACTTGAGATCCATTTCAGTGATCAGAAATGTGTCTTAATGAGACAATTAGTCAAAGCATAAAAGCTGCACAGCAATTTAGTTGGTGTTACTACTGGAATAATTTGCTGCTGCTGTTTTTTTCCTCCTGATTTGACTTTATCACAATAGGCTGGGTGAAAGACGCTGTAGAGAGGACTTGCAGGCTAGGTTCAGTTTTCAAATGGCCATGATTATCTGTGGGGCAGACAATCCCTTTAAAAATGAGGGAGACTTTGAGGAAAAAAGTGGTTATTTCAGATACAAAAAAATCAAATGCCTTTGTCCAAGTGGCTACTACAGCGCCTTCAAATATCCAGCTTTCTGCTAGTGCCATGGCAACTAACCACAAGTACCATTTGGGGGATGGGTACCAAGCTGAAAGGGCTACTTCAAATCTGTATTTATTTTTCCCTTCTGTAACAAAAGCGCAATAACAAGGCTTGAGATTTCTTGATGTATTCTAGCCGGCTGTGTTCAAAAATGTCTGATGGAGCTGATTTTTAATCTCACCGGAAGATACCTTGTTGTCATATAAAAAAACCTTTTTTCATCTGTTTCTGGTCTTTCACAATATGGCCATTACTCTAAAGCAAAGTCAGAGCAGTTGTTCTCAACTCATACTTGTCTTGAAGTTTGCTGCTTCTCTTTCAACCTGAAGCCTTGTCTTCCTTGAAGTTTGTATTTATTCCAGCTGAACATGTGTCATGGTTTACATTTATTAAAGCTTAATATCTCCCTACAGAACTGCTGTCATTCTAACTTGGAGGTATGTCAGAAATGTCCTCAGAATGATGTTGCAGAGGGCACTGAACACAGCAAAACTAAAACTTTATGTTTTTTAAAATGAAATAATTGCATTGGTGAGTTCATCTGCCTGCAGTGTTTCTACTGTTGTCCAGGGCGTTCCATGCTCGAGAGGCCTGGGGCGTTTATTCTTCTGGCTTTGGGAGCAAAGAATTAACATTATTTAAACTAACTTAGTCTAATTAATTTGCATTTACCTAAGAGACCAATAGACAATTTACTGCTAGAAAAGCAGAAAGCCTTTTGCTGGTTTCCCACTGGCAAATGCAGTAGGGTGGGTTTGTTTGAAAGCCCCTCCCTGTGCTGAGGGCTGCACTGGAGCTGCAGGATGGAGCTGAGCTGCAGTGCAGGACACAACAGCCTGCTCAGTATTTACAGGGTTGGTCAGGGTCACAGCAGGGTGTGAACTAACTCGCTGCTGTCATGGGTAGAACTAGAGCGGGGCAGATGCTGAACCCCCTGCCTGCTGTCTGTGTGAATGCCTGCAGTGCCTTTGTGACCTGTGCCAAGCTTAATTGTATTGATCTTCTCAATACGGTTCATTCTGAATGTTCCCACTTTCTAATCTTGTTATACCAGAGTTGTAGAGTGCAAAAATGTTTCAGAGGCTTCTAAAGGGACAATAGTTCCTGTTTCTGCTGACTTTGAGTATTTTTTTCCCTCACTAAAGATGTTGTTTTAATGCCTCTTTCATCTATAGGTCATATGAAAGGGACTGTATTTGAACACTGTGATAGTGTTATTTTGACAGCTCTTTTGTGTTGGATCAGTATTGCTGTAAATGTGGTTTGGTTATTTATAACTGCAGCTATCTCCCTGCAGGTTACAGCTGATAGGAGATACCAAGTGATTCTTTGTCTTCGGTTTTATGCTGGGCAGCCTGTGTCTCCTGCAGCTGCACTAGAAACTGCAGCTTTGCTGCCTAGTGCTCCTCAGCCTCAACAAATGCCATGTTTCTTTGTTCAGACGCTCTGTCAGGACGCAGACTAACCACTTCTTGCTTTCTTTCATATGTAATCTCTCAGGGTAGAATCATAGAATATCAGGTTGGAAGGGACCTCAAGGATCATGTGGTCCAATCTTTCTTGAAAAAACCACCATTCTGGCATATGACTTCTTGCAAACTGCTGAATTCACTAGTCTCAGAAGTGGTTTTTTAAATGAAGTTGAGGTTGAGAGTATATGTTGACAAATCAGGAGCAAAAAGGAAAATTCATACTCGAGTTATTTGGGAAAAAAAATAGAAAAAGGCAGCATTACTTTTGAGATACCTGGAATATCAGTTGTGGTAACACCCAGTCATCTTTAACCCTGTCCTTATGACTATGCCAACTTTTTTCTCTTCGTACCTTTGGGCTGTGTCTAATGATGCGCAAATGTTCCGAGACATTTGTGGCCAGAAGAGAAGAGCAGAACCAGCACATATGTATGAATATGTATGGGCTGCTCATCAGCTATGAATGACTTTGAACTTTCTAAAAGTTGAAAGAATGAAAGATATCCAGGAGCTTCATTCTTCTTTTAATTATAACAAAATTATTAGAACTACATGCAAGCCAGAGTTCTATATGAGTTATAATATTCAGGGTGGTAATGTATGACTAGTTCTGGAAAAGGCAGTGTATGTTCTTATTTGGTGACACATTGGGTGTAATGAGCAAGATTATCTAGAGCTTCATTAAGTGACCTGGAAGTGTGAAGAACCAACTGTATCCTGACATTTCTAATATCTTTGTGTTGCAAGTAAATTACCTGATAAAACCAAGGTAAAAGGGAATGTGTCCCTGTAAATCAGTAAGTGTTTAACGCTGCTATTCTGGCTTCTCCACCAAGTGGATGCAACTTGCCATCACCTCCCAGAGGAGGAAAAACGCTACTTACAAAGTATGCGCAAGGAAATTTATTCTCATTTTACATTTCTACTTCTTACCCTAACATCTACATTCCTTTGCATTCTCCCTCTTCGTACTTGGACCCAGCTTGGCTCTACCCTGGTTAGCTGTATGAGCTGAGATTGATTCAGCTTTGATCTGGATTTGAAACAGCAAAAAGTGAATGCAGCAGTGCAGGCGCTTCAGAAGCTGGTAGCATGGCCTCATAGTCAGGACTTCACTGTCTAGTGTAGTCCAAAAAATCCAGTGTATTTTGTTGGAAGACATTCCCATCCAGAACCTCCTGGTTCCTTGCCTGTCTGTCTTCCTGTCAGGAAGATAAAACCAACCTGAAAGTTGTGTTGGAAATGTGCTGGGAGTGCCATTATCCTTGGTCAGTTTTTTGCTTTGCTCCACAACTCCTATCTCCAGCCCTAGAGAGCCTATTGAAAAGTGGGGAGGTGAGAAGCAGTGACTTTCAGCCTTTCTCTGGAAGCCACTTGCACGAGATGAGAAAACTTGAACCCTGAGCTCCTCATCTCACCTGCAGCAAAGAATAATTAAAAAAAATCTTTCTGTGTGAGGCACTGAAATGGTGTTAGTTAGGCTTTGCTGGGGAGGGTGTCCTGGGTTCAGCTGTAGCAGTCATTTTGTCTCCTTCTTAGTAGCTGGTGCAGTGCTGTGGTTTTGACTTTCAGCCTGGGAACAACGCTGATAACACCCATGTTTTTAGTTGTTGCTCAGTAATGTTTACTCTGACCAAGGACTTTCTCAGTCTCATGCTTTGCCAGAGAGGAGGGGAAGCCAGGAGGAAGCAGAGACAGGACACCTGACCCAAACTGGCCAAAGGGGTATTCCATACCACAGCACGTCATGCCCAGTATATAAACTGGGGGGAGTTACCCGGAAGGCCCAGATCGCTGCTCGGGTCGGGCTGGGTATCGGTCGGCGGGTGGTGAGCGGTTGTGTCCTCTCCCCTTGTTATTCCTCTTATCATTATTATTGGTAGCAGTAGTGGTTTGTATTATACCTTAGTTACTGGAGAGCTGTTATCTCAACCCGTGGGAGTTACATTGCTCCGATTCTCCTCCCCATCCCTCCGGGAGCGGGGGGAGGAAGGAAAAGGGGGGGAGTGAGCGAGCGGCTGCGTGGTTCCAAGTTGCCGGCTGGGCTTAAACCACGACACAAGGAATTAAGTTTTTGGGAAAGAGGGGAAGGCAAAAAACCCGAAGAAACTAAGGCCCAAGTAAAGAAAAATGTGTGCTATTTTGGAAGCAAAAGGATGCTCTAATACCTCTGTGGACTAAAACCTAGCAGGTTTTCTTGTGACTGGGTGCTGGTGCATATGGGAAGGCCCCAAAAGGTGCTCTCCCAAGCATGGCCTTAACTCCTAAACCATCCTCTCTTCCTGACTGTGCCTTTCAAACCACCTCAAACATAAAGGAGTGCAGAGCTTTAAAGTGTTAATGTTGACAGAATCTGGGCTGTTTATGTCTAGGAAGTACTCATTTCAAAATATAAGTGCTTTCAGCAAGAGACTGCAATGAATGAAACTCTGTACTTTCCAAATTCCAGGTCATTAATGTTGCAGTGAAATACAGTCTTGCCATTGACCACCAACTCTGCAGTGTTCCAGTATGGTATCTCTTCCAGAATAAGCTGATGTCCATTTGCTTGCAGAACAGCTGGAAAAGGGCAAAGAAGCAGTGGCCGGTACTGTATTTACTTCATTTCCTCTGAACTGTGAGTATATCTAAGTTTTAGCACTTATGAGGGCAAAGAGTAAAAACTAGCGTTAATGTAGTTAGGTGCTGTACAAAACTCTCCACAAGTCCTATCAGCTTTGATCTCTGGCTTCACTATTATTACATTAATGTATCTCCTTTGAATGAAGCCTCCACCCTCTGTCATTTCTCATTCTAGCAGTAAAAGGCAAGAAATTCATTATGTACTTGTATTTGCTATTAACTGGCACAGCAGCCGTAAGAAATGCAATGTATTTATTTTTAAGTACCATGGAATAAGACTGAATTCAAAAGAAATCTCCAATAAACATTAAGATGGTGCTATAGAACAGCTGGAACATTAAGTGAACAACCTTGATAACCCAATTGTTCATTGACGACGCATAATTCATTTTGCTTCTACTGAAAGAGTAATTTCTCAGGACATTAAGGACTCGAGATTTTGTGAAGCTGAGAATCAAATCAGAAGGGACAAAATTCTCTCTTAACCCACGTATTTGTTTAGATGAATTATGTGCTTTTTGGGATTATTATGGTACATTGTATAGGGTTGTTGTAAATTGATCAGAACTGGGGAAATAAGAGAACTGCCTGATAATGCAATTCCAGCTACACAGGAATGCTACATGGTTCTGCCTGGGCCCCCATAGATGTACGTATTTTTTAATTCATCTTATTCTGTTGACTTGTTTTACAAGGCAGAAGCAGATTCCTGTGTAGTCAAACAGTGAGGGTCTCAGCTTTCCAGGTTTTTATCAGCTATGATGTGTTAAGGTTGAGGCAGCGTACTGACCAACCCACGTCAGCTATTTTGGCAGGTAGAGGTAGCACTTCCTCTGTCCCAGTTCCACTGTAGCTGTATGACTTGCAGGAGTTGGCGTTCCTCGAACATTTGACCTGACTGCGTCCATCTGTGACAGCTCTATGCAGCATTTTAATTCAACTTACTGCAAAACTACAGAAAGTGGCTGAAAAAGGAGTCTGGTTCGCAAAGCAGCGTGCTGTCAGCTTCTGCTGCTGTTCTGTCATCCTCATAAGGCAGCTTTCACTGCTCTCTAGGAAACTTCAACGACAATCTCTGACAATTAATTCAAGTTTATAAAATGGGTGGGAGAGATGACATCTCTATACTGTTGACTCTAATTTAAAGAAAACCCCCAAACCTACTAGTTTCTCTAGGTTGAGGCCTGGTCTGTCTTTGTCCATGTCAGGTACACTGCAAGGACCTAGCAACCCCAGTAGGAGAATCTGACTGAGTTGCCAGTAGCCTATATATTGCATTAACTCCTGCTCTTTCTAGGTTTCCAGTGTCAACCAAATAGTGTTTTTTCTGATACTGAGTTTATCTTGCTCTTATTGGACACATCTATGTGATCTAAAGCCTTTATAATCACAAAGTGTTATTTATTTGAATACTTTAGATCACACATACATGCATACAATCTGATTTACCTTGCAATCTTAGATTCATTTTGGTAGGCAGAAATTTTTATTATGTGTATCCTCTTGTCGTTGGAAAGCACTAGAACAGAGGAAACCTGCTGCTAATAAACAGAATACAGACTACACTGATCCTCAATTCATGATGAATCAGAAAAAAATAGCTACACCTTCTTCTGTGGGTGATGTGTTACTGCAGCTTTAGGTATGGATGGTGAACTTGCGTGGCACTAGCTGACTCTGCAACACCCTGAGGCACTGCTCCTCTGCTAGACCTGTGGTGAGGCTCTTTCAGGCCCTGGGGCAATGCTCTGATCTGCACAGCCCACCTGGTGCCCAACTGAGGGAGCAGGGCTGCAAGTGGGAGCAGTGGGGGTGAGCCCTGCTCCAAAACAGCCCAGCTGCCTCTGAGTCAGGGTACCTGCTGTCTGCCTTAGGCTGATGGCTGGGGATTGTGGTTGAGCTGTAAGCAACAGAAGTTACTTTGTACGCCCAAGTACTTTGCTTTGTAGCTAAATTTGGGCTTAGACATTTTCATCATTGGTTTACAAGTTTATTTCAAACTTTTTAATGAGGTTTGTGTAACTGGAAAAGAAAAATATGTACACACTGCAATTCAGGCTTAATTTAGCAAATGTGAAAGATGGAAGTGTTTGCTCTTTCTGAGGCATGTTTAAGGACCAGCTCTTTCCTTTGTCACACACATGATGTGACTGGTGCAGCCTCCCTTTGAGGCTGTGAGCCGTGCCGCACTGAGACCCTGCAGTTCTGCGCGACCATGGGCAAGTGCTTCCCTGACTACCCTCCTGTGAGAGGCCCAGGGGCTCCCGTGCAGCATGGTGGGGTCATGGGGCTTGTGGGGCAGGGGCTGCCTGGCACAAAAAAGCAACAAAGTCTTTCCATGGTTTATTTTTATTGGTGGTGCGGAACAATGTCTTTACATTAGCTGAATTTGTGTCACCAGCGTACGCTTCAGATCGCATATATTAATATAGACAGATAAATACATCTCCATAGAGCACAGAACATAATGGAAACAGTGTGCTATAAATACACATTTGTCATAAATCTATACTATAGTATAAAAATAAAAGTATCACTAAAATATTTTTGTCTTCCGCAACCCATACGTCAGAAGTTCAGCTGTATGTCTCGACCACGTCTTGCTCAGCTATGGATCACACAGGAGGGGATTGAGATCAAGGTCTAACCCCTGAAACTCCACCACCTTGAAGTCAAGTTCCTTTTGCTTTTGTTCACTGTGAATATAAACATTCACAAATATTGGGGTTTTCATTTTTACAACCCACTCCTGTGTGTACATGGGGGTACTGCTACAGAGAGAGCGAAACAATTACCTTCTTAAAATTCTCTTGTGGGGGGTTGTATGTTCTGAGTCCCACCAAGAGGTCTCATTAAATCACTGCTACTTCGCAGAAACCTCAAATGGTTTGGTTGGGTTAAGGTCAAATGGTTTGACCTTAAAAATCACCTGGTTCCAACCCCCTGCCATGGGCAGGGACACCTTCCACTAGACCAGGTTGCTCAAAGCCCCGTCCAGCCTGGCCTTGAACACTGCCAGGGATGGGGCAGTCACAGCTTCTTATATTGATGAAGTTACACTTAGCTCATTGATCAAGATTTTCTCCCTTTTTATGATGAACAATCTATTCCATAATCTTCTGCTTGGAAACATTTTAAAATCTTCACCTTTGATCTCCATAAATGCATGTGCACAGACTGTGCATTTCTGAATTTCAGGAAAGAATTTCATTTGCATAATACCCATAATTTAAATAAAAACCTAAGAAAACTGCCTTTTTCCTGAAATGGGACCATACCACATGGATTCTGTAGAGGATTCTGTTAACTGAGAAGCAGCACAGTCCCATATGAAGCTCTTGCTGGCAAACCCAGTAGTTTGTAATGCCTTGGGCCATGAATTTTATCCATCTGTGATTTAACCAGGACACACCAATTTAAATGTACCTGAACTGAGTCTGAAATTTCTTGAACAAAGTCTGGTACTTTGCAGCTGCTACTTTTAATGGGTACTAGCAGCGGTACACAAATGCCTTCCTCTGCAGGGCCTGAGTTCAGTGAAGCTGCTCATTCAGGTACTCAGCCTGAATACTAAAACCAGATTAGTAAGTATCTGAGATACAAGTATGGAATTGTTGTCAGCTAAATATATAAGAAGTTTGGGTTGTCACTCGTTTCTTCCTCAAGAAAAAATATGGTGTTGGTATTTTCCACCACCAGTTTCCAGAGCTGCAGAATCCAAAACATCTGTTAGAGCAGCTGTAGACAAGTAAGAGACTCTTAATGATAAAGTGGTGAAAAGTTTCAGATGTGGTTGTAGTGTTTGAATTCTCAGTGGCTGTGTGGTGAGTACAGTGCCTGAGCGGCTGTTGAAATTCCAGCCAAAAAAGTAAAATGAAAACACAGGTAATGTTTACAAATAACTATCAGTACCCATGGATCTAGGAATGCAAAATAATGTGCTTCATTAGGGGCAAATTAATAATCAAATAACTATTCACAGCATTTTTATGTCCTTATATGGTTATAATTTTAGACATACAATTCTATGAAAAAATTGTAATGTTACATTTATGTTAAAAATGCAGAATGCCTTTGTAGTGACATGACACAGAACAAAGCAAAATTACCAGGAAAGTTCCAAAGTAATTTTCATTATTATAGTACAGGAACAATTTAAAGTCATATTTTGAACAGTATATTCATTAGGTGAACACTTGGTTGGACTAACAGTCTAATGGTTTTCTTGCTTTTTTTAATTGTTTTTTCCATTTTAACTTCGGGACAGCTTTTAAGCAATAATACTATTTACATAATCTAAAAATAGATTTCATCTTTAGTTTGAACCACAGCTCATGGAGTAATAAAACATACATATTTTTAAGTGAATGCATTAACTCAAAGAAATGAGCCCAGCTCTCAATCACTGTAAATCATCATAGTTGATTTGCTCCAACATAGCCAACTTTTGATTGAGCTCCCATTGATTATCAGGCCTACTGTGCTTTCATACAGAGGGTTGTAGATAGCCTTTATCCAGCAGACTACATAATTGCATGTATGCAATGCCAAAGAGGCAGTAAAATAAACAAGGACATATGTGATCTGTTGAATCTGTATCTAGAGTTCTCAGACAGAAACATATCTGCACTTCAAGTTTATTGTAATAAATCTATTCTCCTGCTCTTAGGCTTGAGGGTGCTTAAGCATGTCGTTGTTCAGTCTACAAAGGAATTAAAAACCTCACTTCTCCACAGGCAGGTAAGCAGTTCCTGACTAGGCTTCCGAGTGTGCTCCGGCTTGCCTAGCAAAGGATCCTCGCTGGAGTTAGTGCATATCTTTAGACAGTGAGTAAGTGGTATTCTAACAATGATGACTGAACACCTCTAAGCAAGGCAACAAATTTCAGCTTGAGAGAAAGTGCCTGAAAATATCAGTCCTTTGAAGGATTTATAGGGAATGAAAGATAATGAGAAAACCCTCAGGATAACACTCGCAGAATATGGGAATTACCAGATGCTATATTATTTTCCTGATTGAATTTACTGTATCTTGTAGAATATGATACCCTACATCTACTATGAAAAATATAGAACAGAAATCCCTCTCAAGTGGGTTGATGCAAAGCTGATATGAGTACCAGTACTCTTAAACTGGTATTTATAGCTCTATCTTGGAGATTTCCTTATATTGCAAGTTTGCCTCTTTATTCTAGGTATTTATTGCTCTTTGATTTTGTGTGGTTGCATACACTCTCCTGCTAGTCACAGTGACTAAATTAATTCCTGTGCAAACAAAAAAGGTCTAAAGTAGGATTGAATTGCACTTACGCTTTGTGCTTTGCCTCTCTGTCAGACTGGATTTTGCTCACTGATAAAAAGAAAGAATTAAGTCAATTCATTACAGACAAAATTCTCCCAGCTCTCTGTGATGGATCTTCTCTCCAATATGCTGCTTTCAGAACAGGACTGTGCTTGAGGCCAGTGCACACCAGAATAAAGGCTAAATTATTTCTGCAGCATTTCTATATTGGGGGAACATGCAAACACAAGTGTAACTCTCAGGAAATACACAGTGGCCACTCTCAAAAATAATCTGTTTTTCTTATGTAGTAAATAGAATGGTGGAATTAAATACTTTTCATGCAAAATTTCAAGATCTATTGGCATCAGCTTATTATTTACAATGTTTCTTTCAACATCCCCAGTGGGGGAAATTTCTTCATTTGTTTTTCTCTACATGCAAATCTTGCAGGAATAGATGTGCATATTTTAGAACTACTTGCAGGGACTATTGATTAATTGGTGTGCCTTAGTATTTAATTTATGTCATACACAAAGTTACTCAACTCTAGGTGATAATATGGCAGAAGTTACTTATGGTTAGAAGTGGTAATACAACACACACTCGTATTACTCCCTCCTTCGTTTCAAGCCTTTTTTTCTGACTCTCAAGTGAGAAATGTTAGATTTAGTACATACAGGGTTTTAAATGATGGCAACAATGTAAAACAAATGACATTTTGGTTCTACACTAATGTATTACTAGTACTATCTTGCCTTTGAACGACTATGTCATTGTTTCTTCATAAGGTGGATTCAGGAGAATATTTCCCACAGCCTTTTAGAGCTTGCGGTCCCTCTGCAGCTGTGTGGCTGCCTCTTGCTTAGCAAGTGGCTTTGCCACGGTAGAACTGCATCTGTTGAACAGATCTCTCACTTCTA